CTTCTAAAAAGAAAAAGTAAAGAGAGTGTTTAATGTAAGAGGTTAAAAATTGAGTGAAAATTAGAGTTTTGAATTAAAAATGGCCAAATATAACGTACCTTTTGAACGAGAGTGTTTGGACGTAAAAAGTTAAAAATTTGTATGTGTTGAATTAAAGATGACCTTATTCAAGGAATCTTTTAGTAAACAAGACATTTTTATGTAAAAAGTTAGAAACTAGGAGTGAAAATGAGATTTTATAGTTAAAAATAACTTTATTCAATGTATATTTGAAGGAACGAATTTGTTTTATTGTAAAAAGTCAGAAACTTCGACTGAAAAAGAGAGTTTTTAGTTAAAATGACCTTATTCAACGTACCTTTGGAAGGAACGAGAGTGTTTTGATATAAGAAGTTGAAATCTTTTGAGCGAAAATGAAAGTTTTGAGTTAAAAATGACCTTATCCAAGGTACATTGGATGGAAAGAGAATGTTTTGATTTTAAAAGAGATGAACTTTGAGTAAAATCGAGACTTTTGAGTTAAAAATTACCTTATTCAAGGTACCTTTTGAAGGAATGATTGGTTTCATGTAAAAAAGAGACACACTTTGAGTGAGAATGAAAGTTTTAAGTTTAAAATGACCTTATTAAAGGTAGATTTGAGGAAACCATAGTGTTTTGATGTAAAACGTTAGAAATTTTAAGTGAAAGTGAGAATTTAAGGTTAAAAATTACCTTATTCAAGGTACGTTTGAAAGAACAAGAGTGTTAAAAGTAAAAAGTTAGAAACTTTGGATGAAAGTGAGTTTTGAGATAAAAATGACCTTATTCAACTTATTAAAAAAAAAAAAAAAAAGAGACCTTGTTCAAAGTACCTTTTGAAGTGTCTAAAGTGTTTTAATGTGACAAGTTAGAAACTTACAGTGAAAATGAGAGTTTTGAGTTAAAAATGACTTTATTCAAGGTACCTTTATAGAAACAAGAGTGTTTTGATGTAAATGTAATAAACTAGGAGTGAAAATGAGATATTTGAGTTAAAAATAACCATATTCAAGGTACCTTTGTAGGACGAGAGTGTGTTCATATAAAAAGTTAGAATCTTTGAGTGAAAACGAGTGTTTTTGGTTAAAAATGACCTTCTTCAAGGTACCTTTAAAGGAAATATAGTGTTTTGATGTAAAAACTTACAAACTTCGAGTGAAATTTAGTGTTTTGAATTCAAAATGACCTACAAGAGTTTTTTTACATAAAAAGTGTTAAACTTTTAATCAAAATGAGAGTTTTGATTTAATACCTTTTGAAGTAACGAAAGTGTTTTGATGAGATGAAATAAAAATGAGATGAATGACTAATAAGACGACTTTCAATCAAAGGAGAAAGAAAAAAAAAATTCTATTCTGTAAGACTATAATTTATATAAACAGCATAACCAACTTTCATTTGGTAAAACCGTGTATTTAGTACATGGAAATGCTAAAGTTCAGACATGCAACTTATATGCAATCACTTGAAACAGAGTTAAAAAATTGCATGTAAATTATTGAGCGAGATGTTGAACCTTTTGATTGCTGCATGAATTTGAGGTGCTAGATACAAATCTGCCTGAAAGAGTAGCCAAAATATATATGCATAACAAAAGTAATTTGTAAGCACGTGTACTGCATTTAATAAGGGTCCAAGGTGCTATGCCACATATAACTCTGATCAAGGCCGAGATAACCGTAATTATTAATGCAAACAATTCTGATTCCTTGTTTAACATGCTTTGTGATGCCCTAAAATTATAAAAACAAAACAATATAAAATAAATAAATAAATAAAGACATTGCACCTCTTTGAAAACAATTACATCATAAAATATTGAAGTACACTTAGCTACCTATCTAAGCTACAATACAAGTGTACAAGCAAACAAAGTGGATCAATCCATATTATATACATCTGCAATCTAATTCACTACTCAAGCGAATTTTTTTCCCTAAAACAGTTTTCTATTGAGTTAAAGTTCTTGAATTAGCAATTTAAATAATTTGAATGCAATGATTCACATTATAATCGTATTTTCAGAGCTTCATCCTGATCTTTCAGTCAGTCTTAAACGAGCACTAGCTCTTTGAACCACGTCCATCTAACCTGGCTTGATTCTTACGAATCTCCTGTTCCAGGTTATTCTTTTGCCCTTGATCTTGATTCTCAATTTATATAAGCTCTATCGCAGCAATTTTGCTCATTTTTGCTTACAAAACGTCCTAAAATTTTGGGTTCAGCTTTTCCATCTAAAAAGGGGAAAACCCAGTATTCATTATGTGTCTCATATGTCCTTATGAGTTCATCCTTATGGATTCAAACTCAACAATGCAATCGGATTTTGGATGCAAGAATGCAAGTGAACAACTTTACAAGACATCACCAATGTCAAATTTTCATATCTAGATATATAACATATTAAAACAAATGACCTCCGTATTAATTATTATATAATCTGAGTGATGAAAATATCAATTTGAGTTGCATTAGCCAAAAGTACAACACAATGGCACATTAATTGAAATAGTACCAAACAAAAAGCAAAGAAAGCATCAAGTAATTAGTAGAAATAAAAACAACAAATCTGGAAAACTAGTTCAAGAAGACAAAGAAAGAGAAAAGAAACAGAAAATACCCTAAAAATAATAAAAGACTTCGATATGATCAAGCCTGCACAGCTGTACAGAAATGGGTTGATAATCAAGGAAGAGAATGATAACTCTACATGAACAACGGCTTAGAGAGGGAGAGAAATGAGGAAAGAGTAACGGGTAGGGCGGTGGAATCCTAGGGTTTTGATAAGATAAACACTACAAAATTTACAAAAATGGGTTGATGATCAAGAAAGAGAACCATACCTCTACATGAACAATGGTGATAATAGGTTTTGATTCTTGCAGACAGATAGATAAACTGAAATAAATGGGTTCTGAACTTCTGATTCTTGTAGATTTGGGCAAGTTCAGAGTAGAGATGGAGGCGATTGGAAATCGCCATTGAATCGTAGAGAGCGTATCGGGAGAGGAGAGAGAAAATTTGTGTAAAAATAACCTAAAATGTTTATATAGCTGAAACAAATTCGGCCGACTGTTTCATCCGCTACAGTGCTTTTTATTGGGCTACAGTGTTGAAACAACAAAAAACACCAATTTGGTGTTTCACTTTTGGGCCAAAATTTGGTACTGTTTAAAACATTGTTTTTTACTGTTTAAAACAAAACAAGTGCTACCAAACATGTTTTTGGGCCTGAAATGAAACCCTGCAACAAAAACACCAAAGTAAAACACCAACCAAACAGGCCCTTACAATTGGAATTATTCGATATACAATTTGAATTGGAGTTGAAATATGTATAAATAGGTGAATATATAGTTTTATTTAATAGTTTATATTTTGTAGTAAATAAATAAGTGTTCATCCGTTATAGTTAGTATCAAAGTCAAACCTAATTTTTAATTCAGTGTCACGTCAAGCACCTGGCCCAGAGGGCGTTCGGGTCTAGACCTCGAGTAGACAGGGTGACCCGACCGCAACTAGCGCGTTGCACAGGTTCGGATTAGATTTAGATGGGAATTGAAGTGTGAATCAATAAGTGGGTTTGCACCTATTAGCCTTTAAGCTTTTGGGTAAATAAATAAACGTCCCCCGTTACAACATTCAATAATTCCAATTCACTCCGAAGTTTAAAAGTTAAAGGCATGTTTGGTACGCATTTTCTTTTAGCTTAAAATAAAATAAGTGTTTTGTTATAAAGTATTTTGAATAGTAATTAAAAACATAACTTCCATTTGTTACAAGATTTTTTGAAGTAAAAATATAAAAACTTATTTGATAAAAAAAATTATTAGTTTAAAAATGTCATTTAAAAGTTTTTTTTTACACTTTTCATCGCTACAATATCAAACACTACAGTGCGAAAACATATAAAAATACTAAATTGATGTTTTAATTTTTTGCCACTATGACATTGTGCAAAACAAAACCGTTTTTACCAAAAGTGTTTTCTTCACTATTCATTGCTACAGTATCCGAAAAAAACAAACACAAATAAATAAAATGCATACCAAACAATCCCTAAACCAATATATATTGCATGAATTAATGGTAATAAATTAGAATAATTTAATCAAATATATCATATATTTTAAAAAATATTCCAAATTAAGCAAGATTTATAAGATTAAATCTACCCTGTGGATTGGTATTAATTGTTTCTTATATATCATTATGTTGTCATCATCTTAGCCATTTGTCTTGTATGAATAGGGAACACAAATTCTATTTTTTCATTGTTTCTTATTATATCATTTAATTTATTTAATATTATTTTTAATTTTATCATTCTATGTAAGTTTTGATCTGACACCTTTGTCACTTATCTTCTAGTGACTTTAACCATCTTATAGAATTTTTCTTGTAATTTATTTAAAATTATTTTGTCACATTCAATACAACTAAATTGCCCCCATTTTGTTCACTCTGCCTTACTGCATCACCATTTATCTTTTCATCTGTTTGTAATATCGCTATCTTTTAATACTTTATCAAATTGATGTTCCATATATTTTGATTTAGTTTTACTAAGTTTTAAGCCCTTTGCTTCTAAAGTTCATTGGTCCCTACTGAATATTAGAGGATTAACTCAAACAACTTAAATTAATCTTTACCACTGCTCCTTCGCCAACACAGTATCTCCAAAGGGAAAGTTGAGTGTTTAAAGTCCCGAGGGTTAGTTTCTCGCCCAAAATAAGAACCAAAATAAGAAACATAAATACGAGTTAATTTTAGATTAAAGAAAGGCAATGCGCAGAATAGTTGCAGATCAGCACAACATGTTCATTGTTACCCTACTGAATTAGTATATGAATCTTGTAATTTATGAACTTCAAAGCACAGCCGAAAACACTGAACTTTTGGACAAATAAATCTCAAACTTCTTAAAATAAAATAAAATAAATGAGAGAGAGAAAAGGAAGAAGAAAGCCAAAAGAAACTTTTGGAACTACATTTTTATAAGCAGTGAACTATAGTAAAAGCTACACTGTCAAACTGCTAACTGATTTCTTGCCATAAGCTAAGCCTACAAAACCACATGGTCAGCAAAACAATGCACAATGTCCATACCATTGTTGCTTGGATTCTACTTTTGTCATGTATGGGAGCTTGGACTAAATTTTCTCCAATTTCAAAGTTTCAATTCGTTGCTCCCAAACATAGCATTTCCTAATTTAATTTGCTTGATCCTTTAGTCAACGTCCACAGTACTTTTCCTCTGAGGTAATTGCATGCTAACTATGTCCTCTCTAGGCAGACTGTAAACTGATCCGTTACCTGATTCATCAGCCATTTGTCGACTTTCAGGGGTTGTTAATGCAAGAAGGTGAGTAGCCTCCTTGTTTTTCCGGCAGACAAGGTATGCAATTCCAGCCAAGTAGATCAACATGCCTGAAAATCCCAATATTCCACAAAAAATTTTGCCCACGAGCTTTAAATGGCTATGAAGAAGCAATTTTATGAAGCTGGATGCAAGATAGTATATATTTATGCCCATAATCAGGGAGCCAATGATCCAAGTGGTTGCTGAAATCTGCAATGAGATGAAAGAACTATAAGAAAATGTGCACTGTTCATGGATATAAGCCTTTCACATTAAAGACTTGAAGGCTTTGCATACCCTCTTTAAGATCTTGATAAGCCTTTCACATCAACGATTTGGAAGGCTTTTGGATACCCCTTTAAGATCTATATTCCATTTCACTACTACTTAATGTCTAATTGGTGTATTTTCTGAATTATGACCAATGCAAGAAATGGAGAACACACATGCTTGACCACATATGTTTTGGCAGAAAATCCTCATATGCAATTCTCAAAGGTACCACAAATATCAAATGCAAAATTTTTTTTTACCCCCTTTTCTGTGGTCATTGCAATGCAATAAGAAGTTCAAGCTATACTTTAGTCCAAAATTCATGTGACAAATGATGAATGCAACAAGCAGACAAAAACCTTATATATTTCTAAGTTGCTAAAGCTCCAACTTTTTACGACCTAAACATAAAAAATAAATAAATAAATTTGCATATACGTATACAAGTATACACTACTTGTATGTTTGTAGTGTATATTTACATGTATGTATACTGTTGGACTCAAGTTTCACGACAGAAATAAAATTTGCCAGTCAAGATGAATACCGCAATTGAATTGGCATATGAACCCATTTTGGTCTTGCAGCTGGTGAACTTGAGAAGTGGAATGAGAGCAAAAGGAAGTTCAAATGATAAAATCATCTGTCGAGACAACACCAAAAGTTAGCTTGCCTTAAACATTACAAAATGACAACAACAAAATAACAAGAAAAAGAATAGTATTCATGTGTGAGCATTCTGAGAGGCAGGAACATGATGCCATGTCATATCCAAATTGAAATTTACATGAAAGAATGAAAACCTTGGACAGTTTCCCCAAGCAGAAATAGCACCACACACGTGTATAAAGTAAGTTTAGCTAGATATTAAGGTTTGGGGAGTATGTTCTCTTGGTAAATTTGAAGTACATACATTTCTCCTCTATTAAATTATTAACCTACGTGTCTGCAGTGCTTTTGCAAAGTATGGTAACTTCAGAAAATAATCGCATTTGATGCAGCCTGGAATCCTAGTATGACTAAGTATCCAAGGCTAAACTGGCATTTAACCATTAAAATAAACAAAGGCATAAAAATAAAAAATAAAAAAAAATCAGAAAGATTCCCACCCACCAAACCCCCGCCCCCCGGCCCGCGGAAGATCAAGCAAACACGTGTGTACTCTTAGCAGGGAAAAATTGTCTCAACCTCCTCTCCAAAGGTTGATGATCAGAATCATACCATCTGGAGAGATCAGAATTTCTATTATACAATATTTGGGACTCAAAGAAGGGAAAAAAAATAAAAAATAAAAACTAAAACTTTCCACGTAATGTAGGCCAAAACATATTACTGATCACTCAATTGAAGTCTTTCGTTTGCTAAGAACCAAAACAAAAAGAACATAATAAGAATCCAGAATTTTGTTTTATTCCATTTCGCCAGTTAACTCACTACCTGAGGATATGTGAACACTAGTGCACTGACTGACAGGTAAGCCATAACATCGAGAAAACTTGTTCAGTTATAAAGCGTTAAATCAAATATAAAACTTCTCAGTTTTACTTAATATGGAAAATGTATAATATGAAGGACTTGTAATAGTTTATGTATCCACCACCAAATTTGGAAAAAAGAGGAAGTACTAGTAAGTGTAATGCATTGAACCTTAATAAAGTTCCATGTTCAAAGGCAGAAAAGATTTTTTGTACTAGCACCCATTTTTCATAGTTAAAGAGAACTTAAAAGGCAACAATAACGTACCGATGCAATAATAATCAGCTTTCCAGCCCCATCAGAACCACCAATGATTGCAACAATTAGACTAGGGACTATAGCTAAGCACCGAGTTAAGAAGTTCCTTATCCATGGTTTTAGTCGTAATTCAAGAAAACCCTTCAAGAAGGAATAAGTAGTAATCATATAAGTTATGAACATAACAAGAAGAGTTACAGCTAGTCAGTAAGAACAACATATCCCTGACAGATATTCAATCATGGGAACAAAATTATGAGCAAACCGTTGGACTTTGTATAAAATTTCTTCTATCAGTATTGATAAAGCACATCCACAAGTACCAGAACTTAGTCGTAGTAATTAGTTCTGGTAGGATCCAAAGTTTAATTTTGTCCAGTGTAATCAGAAAGGTCATTCGTGAAGCATAAATTTGTGGACAAACTACCAAAAATAAAGAAATATGGATGGGTTTGCAATTCAATTGTTAGCTACTAGTTCATTAAGGTGCCGAATTATCTATATTTACTCTCACTTCATATCCTCTAAGGGAACAAGTCTACAACTTCAAGTGATGAAAATAAATTTAATACAACAAAAGGAAGTTTATTAGTAAGCTTGTTATGCATCAATTGTGTGATGGATAGGTTAACAATGCCTAAATTTCAACTTTAAGATAGATACAAGTAATATAAAGATTCTGAAAGATAATACTGAAAATTCTTCTCGGAAAGACAAGAAGAGTTGTCAGACACTTGTAACATGGAAAAGATATAGATCCAGCAAACACAATACCTGCATAACATATTGGCCAGCATATGTTCCGGTTATTGTAGAACTCTGTCCTGAGGCCAGTAAAGCAATTGCAAAGAGCTTTGAACTCCAACTACCTAATACATTCTGAAAAAATCACGGAACGTCTCAAAATACACTAATAGCAGGAGAAAATGCAGAATGCAATAAGGATTTAGATGCAAAAAGCAATTTAGCATTATCAGTTGGAATTGAAGGGTCAGAATTAAAGGACAGTTAAAATATCAGGCTGGTGTTGTAAGAAATTTGTGTCACATACTTTAAGTAAAAAGGAGGCTTCGTTCAGGTCCAAGTTTTGGCAGCTCTTCTGATAATCTGGGTTCAAATCTGAGGAGTTGCAAACTGCACCACTTACTGAGATGACAGATACATTAATGAGAAAGGCCACCATAAGGGCAAAGGCGCTTTCTATCATATAAAATCTGCAGGCCTCCTGTAAACAAGACAAGAAGTTAGATTTGGCTTGCTTTCAACTAAAACATTTACTGTTCAACTAAATCATTCACAAATATATAAAGATCACATGTAGGAAATGGTGTATAAGGGAATCAAAGTGATACATATCCATAATAGTGTAAGATCAATGAGGATGTTGGCTAACTTTTAGCCCACTTAATAAACTAGAAAGTTGGAAAGTACTCCAACAAGAATGAAATTTTACTTTGATGCCACTAACAGATCGAGGTATTTTCCTGGAAAGCACCAAGGCTGAATGTAGGAAGAGATTATGCCTGCAACAAGTGCAATATAATCAACAAAAAGGAGCATATTGTGATGGAATGCACTATTGCAATCTGGATACACATAGGAAACTTACGGCATCACCATAGCACCAAGAAGTGAAATTGCTAAGCCAGTAGCCCCATTTCCCTTAAGTTGAGGAACAAAAAGCCCATACAAGACTTCCGAAGATTTGGGATTTGCATACCCAAGTTCCGCGAAAAAGCATGCGGCAATTGTAAATACCAGAAAAGCAATCAAAAACTCAAGTTTTCTTACCTGCAAAAAGATTCACTTAATTGTTATCTTCACTATAACATGCATGCAACCATGTGCCCACTACGGATCAAATGAAATACTAACAATTTCCATTCTTGTTACTACATAGAGCATCATAAAAAATCCAATCGATCAGTGATATTCCAAAGTGCATCGAACAAAAGAGATGTTTAAATACCCCATATTGCTGTAGTGCTAGTAGAACCAATGTACTGAGCCCTGTCAGAAGAACACCACACCATACTGGAATGTTGAAGAGCATGTTCAAAGCAAAGGCTGTTCCAATCACTGGAAATGAAGATTCATATTTAGAATAAAGTTACATCACATGCCTTTAAAAATAAGTTCATATGCACGTGTGTGTGTGTGTGTGTGTTTCAAAGCAAACTGTTTGGATGAGGTTAGAATCAGTCCAAAATTCCAAATGTAATGTCAATGTCCTTTGTAAATGATTTATTTGCATAATATAAGGTCAGTGAGGTTAGCATGTCTAGCCTAATTAACATCCTACAAAAATACTAAGGAAACCAGAGTCCTTTCTGGAGAATCATAACAGTTTTAGTCACACAATTACATAATCTATGATCCTTCTGGCATAAATAGTAATCTTTTACTACTATGAATCTGGAAATGTAATGAATATGATCATACGCCTGCATAAGACAAATTCCTCTTTTAGTCAACGTGGATTCAAGCAACTTAACGAATAAGCTTAAGGCTGAACAAGAATCTGAATAGAATCTCTGTAGCTTTTATCAGACAAGAAGGTCCATGGATTCAATTGTACAAGATCAGGGAGGCAGAGATCATTTCAATAACTGGGGTAGGACAATGGGATAACAGGTAGTTACAAGGATTTGGACATGAAATGCATTATATTCCATTTATATTCCAATTCTCTTTAGTTCATGAACATTTTGTGATTCCATCACTGCTATGACAACCAAACATATTCCCACCAATTATTGTATAAAGTTAGGAAAAATGTCTAAAAGGAGTCTTAAAGACAATGACAACAGAGGGACAAAAATAAAGCAGAACAGAAATAGCTGAAAGTTTACCATTTAAATCGGGATTAGAATTGAAGATGAAATTGACTTAGGTTAACTATTTGCCAATCAAATTTCAGAACCTGGGTCATTGCAATCCCTGAAATCGATTGACAGAATATATACCTAGTCTTCCATTTGCATGTCTTATATGCACTTATACACAAAATAAACAACCTCGGAGCATACTATTATATTAAGCCCAGTGGAAAGGCTATTTAAGGGGTCTCATTTGATGCATTCTCCTTTCTTTTTCACCATTATGAGCTCATGCCCCAAAAATGACTTATTAGAGAAACACCACGGTTTGCACAAATATCTTATTCCACATTCTATTCCAGAAAGATGGGATAAATTCAATATAGACAAAAATACCTAATTTCTCTTTTAAGTGTAATATACCAAAAAGCCAGAGTTCTACACTCAGTCAGCTCACCGTGGAAGATTTTATGGTTTCTTGTTAAGTAACGCTACTGTTTTGTGGGAAAGACATGTTCTGATATTTCAAAGTGCAGCTGTTTCTCACTTTTACATGTAATATACCATAAAGCCAGGGATCCATATCTTATCAGTTCCGCATGGGAGACATCATGATTTCTTAATAAAGAAAAAGCTACTTTTTTTTTTTTTGATAAGTAATAAAGAAAAAGCTACTTTTATTCTGGGAAAAACATGTTTTGCTTTTTAAATTTGTTGAAGGATTTTAATATGTAAGTTACACCCTCTCTAACAGCTTAAGCTTTTAGACTAGATGGTTGTTAACATGGTATCAGAGCCAAAGGTCTCGAGTTCAACCTCACTGTCACCCTGAAAGCTAAAATTGAAAACATGTTGTAGGATCAAAAAGAAGGCCACATGTGAGGGGGTGTGTTGAAGGATTTAAATATGAAAGTTACACCCCAGGTCAAGTGTCCACCTGATCAGATAATTCTAACCACGCAATCATACAAAACTTGTTCAAATTGGTAGAGAAGTACATGAATGAAAAGTAGAATATTCGAAATTTCAAAAGCGTATGATGGTTGTATGATGGTTTTAGTACGCTTTCAGAAAGCATGATATGACATGGAGTGAATATCAATTCTATTTGTATAGACACCCAATGTGGTCTTCCAGTACTGTACTTAAAATGAATGGTTGCAGAAGTATTCAATTCCAATTCCAACTCCAATTAAATAAGAGTAGCCTGACCTTCGGGAATGTCACATGCAACTATTGCAATTTCAGCAATAACCCATAGGATAAAATTGGGCACCCTTGGATATTCAGCTTTACAGTGCTCGGCTAAATGCTTTCCTACAATTGAAAAAAAAAAGTAAAAAATAAGTGGATTAGTAACAACAAATTGGAAAAAACAATTAGGTTTAGGTAAATAGATTTATTGCTGAAGAGATCACATACCTGTGACAACCCCTAAGTTTGCTGCCAGGGATTGAATAATGAGAGCAGCACATGATGCAACCAATATGATCCAAAGTAACTGAAAAACAGAGAGAGTTCGGGGGAAGTGTGCAGTGACTTGTCAAAAAAAAAAAAATCTACAAAGCTGGACATGTAAGAGATATGTTGTTAAGATGATATAAAAATGACACAATCTTCTGTAAGGACTGAAGTCATGTCCCTAGATATATAAGCCGCAAAATTTCTATGAATGTGATAGGTGTCAAGCAACTCCAATTGTCTGGAGCCTATCATTAATTAGGCACATTTGAAAAAATCCTGCCAGCCACAGATCAACTAGAGAGAGAATATTGCCCTCCGAAATCTGTGAACTGCATTCTTTCAGATGAACAAAAATATAAATGGTCAAGAAACAAAAGGAAAGATGACTGTTGTGATAAAAGTAAAGGTCGCTCACATCAAAAGGAATTCTATTCTCCAACTCACACATGCATTTGGCATAACTTAACACCATGCCATTGCTCGAGTATTTTGAATTCAACTATTGAAAGTTGAAACACTCGAGTGCCAATATGTTTCAATTACATAAACTTCAATCCAGAGAAAAATATACGCACCTCATACTTGTATTGTGCTCCTGCCTGTAGATCAGTTTCAACTGTATGCAAGCCACATTATGTAATTAAGGGTATAATACTTAAGAACTGCAGAATTTTTGTCAGCATAAAATAAACTAGGACACAGTGATCTTACAATTTCCAGGATCAATATATGCAATAGAAACAAGAAACCCAGGACCCATGTAGGCAAATAGGTTTTTCCAGCTTTTTTTCTGTGTATATTTAAAAATTATAACTGTCAATCAAGCTATTTCCATTAAACTTCTGATACAAATTCTGAATGAAAAATACAGCAATTAATCCTGGATAAAAAAAAAAAAAAAAAAAAAACCCAATTAGAAACAAGTATCACATTAGTTCAATTCAAAACTTTTAAGCCCTTGGTCAATTAGGCATGCTATTACATATTTGGTGCATTGATTGAAAGTAACTGCAACCTGTAATGACTTCAAATTAAATTCTCACATCGCACAGGCACTCTACATCACATTCGGACTTCAAGGGAGTCTGCAGCAGAAGTGATTGCCAGGAAAGCATATAAATCTGCTTTCTTCTTATGGAAAGTCGGAACAAATTTGTAGTTGTTATTGATGAAATCAAATGAAATAAAAAATTGTAATTGTTCAATGCTATTGTCTAATCAGAAAGAAAATGAATGACGTTCCTCTTTTTGGACCAAGTTCCAGTATCAGCAGCAGAGTTTTTCCCTCTCTTTAGCACATAATAAATTGATTGAAAATAAATTATATAATGTTGGTTAGGGTTCGCTCATATGCTACCCAAGCATCTAAAAATTCAAAACACCTAGCCTTTTTTTTTCTTTTTTTCTTTTTCTTTTTTTTTTTAATAAAATATATTAAAAAAATGTAGCAAAAATGATGAATGGATTAAATAGATGAAGCTTAATTCAAACAATTCAGGGTCGAATTATCAATACCCACTACTTGCACTCTGCTATAGAGCCACCTTTTTTGTATTAATTAGATTATCTGAAAGATAGATATTGTTACTGTAAACTCAAACGCTTGCTATATATATAGAAATAAAAATCAAACTCACATCTGGTACGACAATTTGATTGGATTCGGAATTCTCGATCAGTGGTGCACTTGTGCTTCCAGTGCTTGTTATGAACTGCGGTTGCGCCGAAGCCGCCATTTTTCTCCTGCTCTATTATGTTCCAACGAGAGAGAGAGAAGGTTTCAATTAGTGAACTACGAAATACACATTAGATACATGTGTGTGTGTATATATATTTATTTGTACATAGATCACATTGAAACAGAGGAACGCATATGGAAACATTGAGAGCTTAGAAAATTCAAGTCAGAATAAATGAAAAGGAACGGAATGAAATAGGAGTAACATGCAAATTAAAAGGATTTAAAAGATAAATTGATACATTTCAGTGTAATGGAAGATAGAGAATAGTTCGTTATCTATGTAGAGATGGTGAATCGGCAAAGGAATAACAGGAGACAAACAAATCAATGGAAGGAATGAGTGTACTCTTCTCTTCTCCTAATACTCTCTCACTCTATATATGCATATATCAGGAGGAGTTTCTCTCTCTAAAGCCCTGAAATCTTCTGCGGTTTGTGTCTGGGCTCGTCTCTCTTGTTCATGAAGTTCTTATGGAGTTCAGAAACAGATCTGGCTGACCCACAATGGTGGACCCAATTAACCAGTGGAGAACGCCCCTTCCCACCACTCTCTCTCCTCCCTATTGTCTCTCCCTGTAACGATTTGTTTGGAATCAATTATTTTGGGATTTTAAATAAAAATAATATAATACTATTTTTACCCTTATTTAAATAATAAATAAAATATTTATTAAACAACGGGAATAATTATGTGATGGAACTATGAAACATGAAATTTATTGAAAAAAAAAAAAAAATTATTTATTATTTTTATATATAAAAATAAAAACTAAAAATACAAGAATACAAAAATGTAGATTCAGGTAAATACAAAAATATACAAAAAAAAAATATATATATATATATGTAAATTGTGCTCCATTCAGGTAAATTCTGCTCATGTAAATTCTAAATCCTGTTCCTAAAATTACACAACATACAAAATGGTGGTGGACACTAAAGTATTGGATTCCATGATTTTTGGTATAAAATTTTGCTCCTATTGAAGTACAAATATACAAATATAAATTTTTCAAAGTACAAAAATACAAAAGTGGTGGTGGATCAATCTGTTAAATGCAGTTTAAGATATTGAAGTATACCAAACAAAATTGTGTGAATTATGGAGGATTGGAGCATGATTTTGGTTATACAATTCTATATCATAGATTTTTCAAATACAAGAATATAAAAACGGTGGTGGATCAATCGATTAAACACAAACTTAAACACAGACTTTTGGTAATTTCGATATCTTATGACTTTGAGGATAATTTTTAAGTACACAATACAAAATTGGTGGTAGATACTAAGTATTGGATTCCATGACTTTTGATTAGAAAATTCTCCTCCACACGTATCTAAATAAGTATCTAAATAAATTTCAAAATGAAGACGAATAAATATAAAAAATAAAAAAAAATTAAAATCAAAATACACAAAAGACTTGAATATGCACTAACTTGGATATGCTCAACACTCAGACAAAAAAATATTAAGATATGGTAGTAGATATTTATGATAGAGTTTAATAAGAAGAAAGTGTTTAATAACGAGAAGAAGTTGAAACACTAATCAAGGAAATGTTTAATTAAAGAATATATATCCCGTCAAATCCTTTTAAAATTATAGGCAAAAAAGTCACACTCTCATATTAGTTGTCTAGTAATTAATGTTTTGTCTCCTTTTAAAATTATAGGCAAAAAAAAAAAAAAAAAAATCTTAAAGTTTCACCAAATGAAATCAATATTCCTTGTAATACAAAAGTGAGCACGTCAGTACCTACCGTTTTAAAAGTGAACAATTTGCATTTTACCTCTAGCCAATTTCTTTCCATATTGTGATGCACATGATTTATATTTTTTTATTAATCCCGACAGTACTATTCAATATGACCATCATACCCTATCTTCCTAAAAAAATGTTTTTGCATTCCTTTGTTCCAATCAAACATATTTTTGCTCTCTTCTGTCCATTTGCATTTGCTCTCTATGCTCTCCCTCCAAGGTTAGTTCATTTAAACATTTATATATATATATATATATAAAAGTATTTGATTATAGTAAGTTGTAATATATAAAAATTATTGTTGGACCATATATATATATACTAGGAAAAGGTATGTGCGATGCACGTGGTGAATATTTTGTAACTTATAAAATTTTTGTCTTCATATTGATTAATAAAAAAAAAAAAAAAACTCAACCCATCAACCCGACCCAACTCGTCCGAAAATATTCAGTCCGGGTTATGACCACAACCAATATTAAATACAATTCGGGTTGGCCCAACCCAACCCGATTGGGGTTGAGGTTGGGTTAGGGCTGGGCTGGGTTGGGCCAACCCAACTTACAGCCCTAAGATAAATAGGTAATTTGTGATATAGTTTTATAGAAACTATTTTAAACTCTGTTTAGATCAATTAATAAATAATTATTTACATTAATAATACTTGTCTAATTAGATCTCCTTTTATTAAAAAACACTTAATAAATATATAAATAGAAAATTTGAGTTAAAATTTTATAGAAACTCTTTAAATATTATATCTCTGTCTTCTGTGATAGAGTTTTATTGAAAATAAAATTTGTGATTTGTAATACAATTTTATAAAAATTATTTTATTTTCTTTAAATATATCCTTGTTTAATTAGATTTAATTTTATTAAGAAACTCATAATAAAAGTTAATTTGTGTTAGAGTTTTAGAAAAATTATTTTATTTTATATATCAATTAATAAATATTTTTTATATTAATAATTCTAGTCTAATTAGATTTTCTTTTATTAAAAAATTCATAATAATAAATAGATAAATAGATTAACTTAAATTTTATTAGATAGATTTTAGAGTTCAATTGACATTTTTTTTTTTATAAAAACTCATTGCATATCAATTAATAAATATTTTTTTATAAAAATAGATAGTTAAATACAGAAACTCTTTGCACATGTAATAATACTATAGATAAAAACTTTTTCTATATCAATTAATAAATATTTATATATATAAATAAATAAATACTTAAACACCTTGGCACAACTTCAATATTTTACTCAGAAAATTAGGTTTTCTTTTATTAAAAAATTCATAATAATAAATAGGTTAATTTGAATTTTATTAGGTACATTTTAGAGTTTTATAGAATTTTTTTTCTATAAAAACTCTTTTCTTATCAATTAATAAATATTTTTTTATATAAATAAATAAATACTGAAATACTGAAACTTTTTTCACATTTAATAAATATTTTTTAAATAAATAAATAAATACTGAAACTTTAGATTTACTTTTATTAAAAAATTCATAATAATAAATAGCTAAATAGGTTAATTCGAATTTTATTAGGTAGATTCTAAAGTTTTATAGAGTTTTTTTTTATTATTTTTTTTTATAAAAACTTTTTTCATATCAATTAATAAATATTTTTTATATAAATAAATAAATACTAAAATACTGAAACTCTTTGCACATTTAATATTTTATTTTCTTTAAATATATCCTTGTCTAATTAAATTTAATTTTATTAAGAAACTCATAATAAAAGTTAATTTGTAGTAGAGTTTTAGAAAAATTATTTTATTTTATATATCACTTAATAAGTATTTTTTATATTAATAATTCTTGTCTAATTCAATTTTCTTTTATTAAAAAATTTATAATAATAAATAAGTTAATTTAAATTTTATTAGATAGATTTTGAAGTTTGATAGAGTTTTTAAAAATAAAAAAATAAAAAATACTTTTCATATCAATTAATAAAAATATTTTTTTATAAATAGATACTTAAATACCGAAACTCTTTACACATTTAATAGTAGTATAGATAAAATCTTTTTTATATATTAATTAATAAATATTTTTATATATAATTAAATAAATATAGAAGCACTTTGGTAGAACTTCTGTATTTTACTCTGAAAATTATATTTTCTTTTATTAAAAAATTGTAATTTGTAATACGTGTTAGAGTATTATAGAAAATATTTTTAAACTCTTTTTACATGAATTAATAAATATTTTTATATTTTAATAATTCTTATCTAATTAGATTAACTTTTATTAATAAAAAAACTCATAATAAAATGTAATTTGTGGTACAATTTTAGAAACATTATTTTATTTTTTATATCAATTAAAAATATTTTTTATATTAATAATTATTGTCTACTTAGATTTTCTTTTATTAAAAAATTATAATAAATAAATATGTAATTTGTGTTAGAGTTTAATATAAACTCTTTTAAAAACTCTTATTATATCAATTAATAAATATTTTTTATTTTAATAATTATTGTCTAATTACATTTAGTTTCATTAAAAAACTAATAAGAAATAGAGAAATAGGTAATTTGTGTTAGAGTTTTTTAAAAACTCTTTTAAAACCTCTTTTTGTATCAGTTAATAAATAATATTTATATTAATAATACTTGTTTAATTAGGTTTCTTTTTATTACTCATAATAAATAGATAAACAGATAATTTGTGTTAGAGTTTTATAGAAACTCTGTTGATAGTGTTTCATGGAAAAATAAAATAGGTAATTTGTAATAGAGTTTTATAGAAATTACTTTATTTTCTTTAAATATATACTTGTCTTATTAGATTTAATTTTATTAAGAAACTCATAGTAGAGTTATATAAAAATTATTTTCTTTTATATATCAATTAATAAATATTTTTTATATTAATAATTCTTGTCTAATTAGATTTATTTTATAAAAAATTGATAATAAATAGATAAATAGGTTAATTTAAATTTTATTATGTAAATTTTAGTGTTTTATCATATTATTTGATAAATATTTTTTTACATAAATAAGTAAATACTAAAACTCTTTACACATCTAATAATAGTATAGATAAAAACTCTTTTTATATTAATTAATAAATATTTTTTTATATAAATAAATAAATATTGAAATACTCAAACTCTTTGACAGAGTTTTTGGAATTCAACTCTTTTTATATCAATTAATAAAAATTTTTTTATATAAATAAATAAGTACTGAAACTCTTTGGCAGAACTTCTCTATTTTACTCTGTAATTTTACATTTATAAAATTCTCAATTTCTGTACCCCTCCCTCCTTCCTCCATGTCTCTATTTATAGGCTTCTTGGATGAATAGGATAATGACATGTGTTTTTTTTCTGATAATGACATAATCATAACTGAACCGAGCATGTTATATTGTGATAATTGTTCATTAAAAATAACTAAAAATAAGAGTTTTATATAGAATATGATTGATTTTATTAGGTAATTTTTAGATTTTTATAAAAAGTATAATTATCCATAAAAAAAAAAACTAAAAATAAGAGTTTTATATTAAATGTGATTGGTTTTATTAGGTAAATTAGATTTTCTTCTATTAAAAAACTTGTAATAAATAAATAAATAGATAATTTGTGTTAGAGTTTAATATAAACTCTTTTTATATCAATTAATAAATATTTTTATTTTAATAATTCTTGTCTAATTATATTTACTTTTAGTAAAAAAAACTCAAAATAAATAGATAAATAGGTAATTTGTGTTTTAAAAACTCTTTAAAAATCTCCTTTTGTATCAGTTAATAAATAAT